GGATCAGTACTTGGCCCCCTGCTATTCTTAATCTATATAAATGACTTGCCTTCTACTATTAGTTCTAATATTTGTTTGTTCGCTGACGACTGTGTGATTTACCGTAAAATATCTAATGACAATAATATTCATTCTCTGCAGGCTGATCTCAATAACATACTTCATTGGTGTCATATTTGGAAAATGGAACTAAACATTCAAAAATGCAAGTCTATGAGGATTTCTCGGTCGAGTACAACTTGTCCAACTTACTTTCTTCACAGTCACCCCCTTGAAACTGTAACATCTTACCGGTACCTCGGCGTCCACATAACTAACACTTTGTCCTGGAAATTACATACAGAACACATAGCGTCCAAAGCTAATAAAACACTGGGTTACCTTCCAAGAAACTTCTTTCTTGCTCCATCATCACTAAAGTTATTACTATATACCACATACGTCCGTCCTCAAATGGAATACGCTTCATTTGTTTGGGACTCCTGTCAGGTAACATTATCACACATGTTGGAATCCATTCAAAATCGTGCAGCTCGTTTAATTTTGGCTAACTACCATCGTTCAGCTAGTGTCACTCAAATGAAGGCATCTCTAAACCTCATCCCACTAGTTACTCGCCGAAAGCGCACTCGCATTTGTCTGTTTCATAAAATATTGTATCATAATCCGACACTTCGTTCCCGTTTAATCCAAGCTGCTCCCTTCATTTCTCTTCGCCGTAATCACCAACAAAAAGTCACAGTCCCCCATTGCAACACAGTAACATATGCCCAATCATACCTCCCAAGAACTTGTAATGAATGGAATTCCTTGCCTGCGTCAATAACAAGCATCAATGAACCCATTCAATTTAAGAATGTCCTTAAAACAATGATTACCTAATTACCCCCTGTATATTTGTTGAACAGTTTATTTGTATTGCTTTGTGCCTTCACCATGTAATAAAAATAAAATTAGTGTTATCATTTACTTTATTATGATGTGAGTTGTTAGGAGTAATAATCTTTGTACCCCAATTAGTGACAACATTTTTATGCCATTTGCTTTGTATTTCTTGTTTTTTTTTTTTTTCATTGTTGGGCATGCCCTTCCCCTCTGAAATGTACTGTGTACCCTAAGGGTAAAATAAATAAATAAATAAATAAATAAATAAATAAATAAATAAATAAATAAATAAATAAATAAATAAATAAATAAATGCCGAGCTGGCAGTTCATGATTTAGATTCTTGAACATATTTATTATTGGTAGATTTGTCGCTATGACAGGCCGGCGTATTCGTCGGTAGCCGTTATCATGCTCCTGTGTATTATCGTGCAAGCATCATAGTACTTGCACTAAAGTTGCAGTCATAACTTCATGGTCTACTATTGACGATGCACTTATCGTAAAGACGCGAAATTGGAAGTTTTTTACAAGAAAATATGCGACTCAATAATTGAAATGTTTGAATATTCTAGTTAGTATGATTTGCGATTTTGACCTCACTTGTAAAGTTTACAGATGCCCTGAGAGATGCCAATTCAGCCTTTATAGCGTTGTTCAAGGGATTGACTTTTTCCACATGAGTCTTGATATCGGAAAGAGCATCAAGGAACTTAGTAGTCATCTCAAGCAGTACCTTTCCCAAATCTTTTACAGTACTGGGCGCTTTTTCGCTCAAAGCGTTGGCGAAATCTGTCAGGGCATCAAGTTTTTTTTCCATCCTGTCGCCTTGTACACACTTCGTTTAAAATTGGTTCAATAGCATCAAAAAGGGTGGTTACATAAGGTGATTCAGGTTCAGAGCAAATCGGGAGCCGCAAATAGAAGAATTGTGCTTGCTCGCACTAGTGAAAAAAAGAAGTCCCACCTGCAGTGTGCAGAATAATCAGTTAGACAGTCGTCCAAAGGCGGCTGCCCGATCTGCTCTGAGTGGTGACAGTCAGTGCTCGCTTGCTTATATAGTCGAAGAGGGCGTCACCATGCTCTCCGTGGTGCTGTAGTCGACTTCACGTGGTCTCCACTTCGTTATATATAGATTATTTGTCTAACAAAATCATACTTGACATGGTATATGTACTTTTATGTATTTGATGTATTGTATACATACAATCCGTTGTTTGCATGGAACAACGCTGCAAGATACTGCAAATGACTTATCACAAATATGTTTCCTTCTTATATTTTGTTTCGATTTTTTTTTCCTTTTTTTCTTGTATGATTGAAGTGTACTTATAAAATATCTGCTTTGTTAACACAATCTGTTCCTTTAAATGCATATTTATTTAGACCCCCTACTAGCCAGTGGCTATGGGTCTAAGCAGTGTTGTGTATTTTCATGTAATAAGAGAACTTGAAATAAAATAAAATGAAAAAATGAAATGAATGACCGCACAAAAAGATGAGGACAGAGGGATGTATGACACAGGTGGTAAACTTTCAACTTGTTTATTGACAGTAAGCACCTACTAGGCCAAATCCAAGTTCTAGAGTTACTTTGATTATTCAAAACTTCTGAAATATGCAGTTATCTAATCAAATAGGAATATTACGATTGCAATACTCAACAAATATTTGAGCATTTCAAATATTTGTACACCCCTAGTGTAAAGGTCAAGTCCCCACAACAGTGTGTAAGCTTTGCCCACTGCTGCTAGGCATTAAATAACATGCCCCTGCAACAAATGTGTAATTGGGCAGCAATTGATACACAAGGCTCTGCCCTCGCTGTTGGGGTGAAAGGTCATGCCCCTATTACAATCTTCAATGGACACTCAAGGCTTTGCCCACTGATTCTAGGCATTAAATGTCATGCCCCTGCAGCAAATTTGTGATTCGGCGATTGATACACAAGGCTTTGCCCCTGCTGCTGGGTCATGCTCCTGCTACAATCTGCAATGGACACTAAAGACTTCGCCCACTGCTGCTAGGTATTAAATGTCATGCCCCCACAGTAAATGTGTAATTGGGTGATTGATACACAAGGCTCTGCCCTTGCTGTTGGGGTGAAAGGTCATGCCCCTGCTCAATTTGCAGTAGACACTCGAGGCTTTGCCTACTGCTGCTAGGTACTAAAAGTCATGCCCCTGCAGCATATTTGTAATTGGGCCATTGATACACAAAGCTTTGCCAGTGCTTTTGGGATGAAAGGCCATGCCCCTGCTACAATCAGCAATGGACACTCAAAGCTTTGCCATCTGCTGCTAGGTACAGTCGAATCTCAATAATTCGACCTCGAAGGGACCTGAAAATTTGTTCGAATTAAAAGAAGTTCGAATTAATGAAAGGTATACAAATGGAGGGCTCTCCATGCAGTGGCGCATGTGCATTGAGCTAACACACGAGGTAGAAGTTTCAGAAGACTTACATTTATTCACAAATCACAGGACATCTGTTATTAATTGAAGTAATCGGTGATGCGCGTCTGCACACGTTTGCCTTGCAGTGAGTCAATCAATTTCACACGCAGCTTGCAAAGCATTTCTACTTCGGCTTCAGCATTCTCCTGGCAAGATAAGTTGCACGCGAAAACGTCCAGTGCTGACACTTTCAAGAGACGACGACAACAACGACTGCCTCTCTGCTAAGCAGCCGTAGCATGGGCAGCAGGTTACGAGAAAGGAGGAGTGTCACCACGTGGAGAGAAGCAGATCAGCATTTGAGAAAAAAACAATACTACACGGCAGCTTTTTTTTTTGGGCTCTCTTCGCGCGCGTCCTCAAAAGGAGAAGGGTTATGTGGCAGGGACGGGAAAGGGAAAAGCATGGCATCGGCGCGTGGGAGACACTCCCCCCCTCAAGGCGCAGAGCTGTGCTCCCGCAACGGGCAAGGACTGCAGAAGATGGTGCCTTTTTCATTTTCTTCAACCACACATTCATTCAAGCCAGCGACAGCTTTTTTTTCCCCTCTCTCTCTTCACGCACGGCATTGGAAGGAGAAGGGTCTTTACGTCGCAGGGACAGAAAAGAGAGAAGCGTGACACGGGCGCGTCGCAGATCGGCATTTGAGAGAGCGCAAACGTTCCACCGCAGCCTTTTTTTTCCTTTTCCTTCGCGTGCAGCCTTGAGATACCGCAGGTGCCGCTGTGGGATTGGGTGGGGTAGGGTGCCTTGATGCTCGCGCGCTCGCACCGAGGCACCCTAGGGTGGGGTGCTGAGAGCATTTTCGGAGCACGGTATGTTCAAATTAACCGTCGCAAGTGCTTGCACATTCGAATTACCGGGCATTTTCGCCCATTGGAATATACACAGCTTTGACGGGACCTTATCGTAAGTTCGAATTAACCAGAAGTTCGAATTAAGCATGTTTGAATTAATGAGATTCGACTGTATTAAATGTCATGCCCCTGCAGCAAATTTGTAATTAGGCAATTGATACACAAGGCTCTGCCCTTGCTGTTGGGGCGAAAGGTCATGCCCCTGCTACAGTCTGCAATGGACACTCAGGGCTTTGCCCACTGCTGCTAGGTATTAAATGTCATGCCCCTGCAGCAAATGCATAATTGAGCGATTGATACACAAGGCTCTGTTCTTGCTGTTGGGGTGAAAGGTCATGCCTCTGATACAACCTGCAATGGACACTCAAGGCTTTGCCCACTGCTGCTAGGAATTAGAGGTGGCGCCCCTGAAACAATGTGTAATTAGGAGATTAATACACAAGGCTCTTGGCCACTGCTGCAGCAACACACTATGAGCCAAACAGCTGACAGGACTCCGATTCCGACGAGAGTCCTGGATGCATCACCACTGAGGCCTTAAATGTATTTTAGTGATAATATAGGTGACCCTAGTAATTTTTTAGGTACAAGAAAGAACGAAGAAAGAGGAAGTGTACCATTATATCTAAATGACAATGCCCCTAGAAATGTACAATCAGAATTGCACAACTAGATGTAAGGCACACAGATACAGCCAAATATTTAACTGCCCCATCAAGGTGCACTAGAAAGCAATTTCTTAAGAGTCTAAGTGAGAACAGACATAAATAATTATAGACACAGCAGTCCAAGAGGCACTCACTCATTGACAATCTTGCGCGTGGTGGAGATGATCTTGCGAGTGGCCTCAATGTAACCATCTCGCCCATAGTAGAGCAACGAAGCCCAAGTGCAGGCCGCCACTGAGCCTGGCCGACTACCTGAGAACCAAAAAAGAACAGCGTACTATTGTCAGAAACAGCTCTATATAAACCATTTGGTACAGTCAAACCCATTTATAACGAACTAGAAAGTGCCGCGATAAATGGTCATTATATAAGTAGTTCGTTGTATATGAAGTCGCCCATGAAAAGCTCCACATGTGGCCAAACCCTTTTTTTCCCTGTGTATTCTTATTAAAAAATGATAACATCGCTGACAAGTCAGGCCTTTTTGCAAGTAAAACGACGCCCGTTTAGGTGGTGTTGCGCCCGTCCACAATGAACTCATGCCGTTTCGCTGAATCATGGTACCGCCACGTCGAACCATCGCTGGCTAGTTGCGTGCAGCATGTCGCTTACTCTAGCTACTCTTGCCGTCGCATGCCAGTTCGCTTCCAGTCCAATGTAGCGCACGTTTGTGCGTTCTTCGTGCATGATTTACTTGAGATCTTGCTCGGGTGCGGCGAGTAGCCTGTTCATAAAACACAACGAATATTTTTGCAAGCAATGCGTGCAAGCGGCCTCGCACGGCGTGGCGGTGGCGAACTTGCGAATGGCATCATGACGAGCTTGTACCACGGTCACTCCGCCGAGCAGGTATCTGCAGATGACTGTGATAAGCTCGCTATCGCTCTTTTTTATGCTTATTCGTTAAGGCACCTCGCTATCACTATTTTTTATGCTTATCCGTTAAGGCATTGCTTCCACAACCGTGCGAACGCCGTTATCACTAATCGATCACCGGCCTTTGCCGTTACCAAAAGGTGGAAAACTTTTAACGAGCACATTGTGATGCCGGAGAGTGAAGCGTCACAGTGAACGTTCACGAGACAAAACTTATCGCTTGTCGCATTTATGGCCTCTTGCGTTCCAAGGCATTGCTGGTTTATCGTTAGCGGTGGTAGATGCCGAGAACGGCTTCAGAAAAGTTTGCCGTCCAAAAGCTGACCATAAGTATTCATGCTGCCTTCTATTTTTTCTTTTCGTTTAGTTTTTTTCTCTAACTTCCACTGTGCATGTGAGAGATGTCTGGAAAGTGAACGACCTCACACGCAACGTGCAAAATCTGCGTGCGGTGCTCGCCGCGTTCTGGGATATCTTCCTGGCAAGTACACTGCAGTTATGCACAAGTGAGCGTGCCTATCACATGCTTCAGAATGCCTGCTTTAACTTTTTTTGCTTTGTATGCGCTATATTTTCACTGCGATCGTGTGCAAAGTGTTCGTTGTAAAAGTAGGATGCTTTGAAAAATGTTTGCTGTATGTGGACTCAGTTTCAAAGGGTAGCATAGGAAAATCGTAAGTGCACCGGATTATGGTCGTTAAAACCTTGTTATATCTGGGATCGTTATAAGTGGGTTTGACTGTATTTACTCAAAGCCAGGACACTGGAAGCACTTTGGGCTTTCTACAGACTCTTCTTGTCAGCAACTGGAAAAGGATCATGTTGTTCTTTGTCTTGAATATTTAATTTTCCAGCTACTGCATAGGTAAAGTAACACTGTTATAGTAATGACCAATTACGAAAACATTAGGTTTATTGAAAAACAGTCTGGATCACATTTATATTACTGCGAGCTGAAGGTCTGAGAACTTTCGCAAAAAGGCATGACCAGGTTCCCTCAAGTTACTGGATGCTTTATAACAGTGAACACACTTCTTAACATAAGACTGATCAAGTTGGTCTACAATGCATAAGAGAAGTAAGTGGTTCCTACTGGTTGCGCCCAGAAGGCAACAATGACATGAAAATTGGAACTTCTACAGTATCACATTTTCCTTCAAATTTTACAACTGTATGCAACAATAAGGCAACCGTTAGGTACCCCAAATGTGCAAAGCATTAAAAGAACTGGGATGTCTGGAGAATGCACCTGTGGACGGACTGGGCTGGGAAATTCACCAAGGCTCCACAACAAAAAAAAATCACAGCATATCCATGGAGTAAATGATGATGAGCTTCGGAGGATTTTATTTATTTATTTATTATTACAAGTACCTACATCGCCCATTGGGCATTGTTGTAGGGAGGTTACAGTAGAAGATAGAATACAAAACAGCAAAATCAAAAGCAAATAAATCGTGCATCACAGTATACAGAAGAAATGAACACTTGTAGTGCAGCATTAGAACAAAAGTACAAAACACAGGATTATACAACGAAAGCAGTAATTATACATATAAAAAAATCAACAACAAAGAGAAGTACAAAGCCAACGTTAAATATATGGGTTATTTCAGCAGCTCAAAATGCTGTTTCAATGGCTGTTAGGAAATTAGAATCAGAGAATATTATTTTTAGCGCATTCCAGTCACTAATAAAATTTGGAAAGAAAGAGTATTTAAGGACATTCAATCGACAGGTATATTCTCTAGTTTTATATAATTGATCTTTCCGTTCGGACATATAACTAGGCGTCTTTAAATACCGCTCTTTATTTAGCCCAGTCTTACCGTGATATATATTATAGAGAAATTTAGGTCTTTGAACTTTCCGTCGTCCACAAAGGGGTTCCCATCCCAAGGTCTGCAGAATTCCAGAAGACCTTATTCTAAAATCGTAGTTTCCTGTAACAAACCTAGCAGCCCTTTTTTGCACCCTCTCCAACTTTTCTTTCAGTACATTCGTGAAAGGGTCCCAAGAAACACAAGCATACTCTAAAATTGGGCGCACATTTGTAATATACAGGGTTTCCTTGAGTGTTTGCGGCGCGTCGCTAAAATTTCTTTGGAAAAAATGAATTAAGCGCGAAGCCTTGGCAGTGATTAGATCTACGTGACTGGTCCAATATAGTGTTGCCGTGAATGTTACGTCGAGATACTTAACTTGATCTACCTTTTGTACTGCGCATGAATTTAAGTAATAAGACCTGGATACTACCTTTTTTTTGTTATTAAATTGCACACGAAAACATTTAGTTAGGTTCAAACTCATTTGCCACTGAGCACACCAAGACACAATCTTATCGAGGTCAGACTGAAGTACTGTGGTGTCATCAAAACACTTGACTGGGCAGTACAAAACACAGCCATCAACATAAAGCCTCACTGTTGATTTCAAGCCCAGTGGAAAATCATTGATAAAAATCAAAAAGAGAAGCGGCCCCAGGACCGACTCCTGTGGCACCCCGGACATCAGCTGTTGATGAAGACACACCATTTATCACAACACATTGCTTGCGGCCGCTGAGATAATCCTTAATCCAGTCTATGAGGGTTTCAGGAATACCAAGAAACGACAACTTATGAAGCAAAAGACTGTGGGGGACGACATCAAAAGCTTTTTTGAAGTCCAAAAATACAGCCTCCAATTGAATGCCCTGGTCGAATGATGAAGCGATGTCATGTACGAATTCGGTTAGCTGTGTAACACACGAAAGGCCTGCGCGAAAGCCATGTTGAGACGGAGTGAAAAAATTATTATCTTGAAGGTGTTTTATAAGGCAAGAATAAATTATGTGTTCCAGTGTCTTGCAACAAACGGGGGTTAGCGATACCGGTCTATAGTTAGATACATTATCACGGACGCCGGATTTGTGCAAAGGCGTGATATTGGCTAACTTCCACTCTCTTGGCAATTTTCCACACCTTATCGATACTTCATACAAAGCAGCTAGAAATGGAGCTATACGATCAGCACATCGTTTTAGTATGTGGTTTGAAATACCGTCGGGACCATGCGCAGACTGGGGATTCAGCCTATTCAAATGTTTTCTTATACCTGATTCAGTTATTATGATATCATTCATAGCTGGTAACGATCTGAGTGTCGTAACGGGAGATATCGGGCTTGGCAGAGAAAAAACGGATTAAAAATACGCATTGAAGCATTCTGCTCTACTCATATCATCTCTAAGTAGTTCGTCATTGTGCATGATAAAGGGCATTCCACTGATGTCTTTTTTGTTACTTTTAACGTAACGCCAGACTTCCTTTGGATTTGTTTTGATTTTGCTATTAAGGGACGATAAATATTCGCGCTTCGCCAGCTTTATCTGTGTCTTCAGGCTAGAGCCTAATGCCTTAAGGGGGGACGTGCCTTTGAGAATGAACTTTCTTGTTTCTGGTCGGATGATGATGAAAATGGGCACAAACACTAAGAATAGCCTCACCGTGCATCCAAAAAAATTTCGAGGCGATAGCACAAATACTTAATGAGAGACAAATTATTTTTCAATTGAACCTCGTGGGGGGGCTGGAGGATTTATAAAATGACAAAAATGGTTGGTAATTGCTGTATCCACTGCCAAATGTATGTTGAAGGGGGCTGCGTTCTCAAAATAACTTATTTGCAACACTAAAACTTGTAGTTTACGTTTCCTCCAGGGACACTGCAATGAGCACACTTGCACTACAAACAAGAAACTCTATAAAAATTTCTTTAAGGAGTACAATGAAAAACTAAGATCGCAGCCCCCTGAAGCACAGTTCAAGGAGCATTACAAAATAAACGGAATCAAAATCCGTACGGTGGTTGCCCAGATATCTGCTCCACGAGCTGAGTATAATGCCAAAAAAACAGTATTGAGAAAACTGCATTTAAAGTTTCAACTTCTTTTTACGTCTATAAAACACCTAAAGATTATGATCTTAGGTTTGTCTTGTGATATTTGACTTTTCAGGTATCTGGTCTCTGACCAGTGTGCCTTGGTTGCCCTTTTTTTTTTGCCCCATAATTTCCTTTTCATGTTTTACAAAGAACAAGTATGGATTTCAAACCAAGTTCTTTGTATGAAGGAGTGGTGTGATAGGCATGGCAGAAAAGATTGTAATTGAATGAGACCATATGCTGAATTGATTACACATATTTCTTGTGCCGAAGTTGTAATCAGCGTAATTACGGTCTTGATTATAAGTATTCACTGAACATTTCTTTATTTAGGGAGAGGTTTATTGCATCAGAAAAATGGATCACACCATGACAGCCTATGCCTTCTTTCCAAATAACAAAGTTATGGGCAGAAAACTGGTGGCACAGGAATTTTTAGCAGTATATTCAAT